AAAAAACCAGCAGTAAAACTATTCAAAGGCAGAAGAGACAAATTTGGAGTAGTATAAATTTGGGATAAATAATCAACTGCCAAACTAGGCCCAGAGTGAAGAAAGAAGAAAGGGAGATACATATCTTTTTTCAAAACATTTATAAACAACACTCCAAAAGATCAACCTTGGCCCCTCTCTTGGGAATGCGCAGACACGAGGATATTAAACACTTTCGTTTGGCAAGAAAAAATGATAAGAATTCATGTCCAAAAAACATCAATGAACTCACACATTTCTCCCAAAACTCTGGTGGCCGTTGAGGCTGATAGAGGGAGGTAAGAAACTGACTGCAAAGAGTGTGTAACTTTTCTCCCGTGGGAGCAACAACGTCCTTGTCTCCCGAAATAACAGCCGGACTGCTAGCAGACTTTCCGCGCTGTGATTCCACCGTTGGCACCGACGAGGTGGTAATACACTTGTAGAGTCGCTGGTGGTTCGATTGTGAGTCGGGTCTTGCAGAGGCGATGGCTTGGTGTGGAGAAGAGCCCAAGAATGAGGACAGTTTAATGATCTCTTGAGTGTGCGACTCAGAGGGTTCCGTAAAAGAGGTGAGAGAGGAGACAGGGCAGACAGTGTAGACACCAATGTGCTGAATTACCAGTGAGTCCAGATGGTGCACCTCGGAGAACTGGGTTAGTGAAAAAGTAAAGAAAGCACAAAGCATCACTTTACCATCGGTTTAAACCTTTCTAGATGATAAGATTATCAAAAGAACCTTCGAGTTCTGACAAAGTAACAATGAAACTTCGACTCATAGATGAATGAAAATGCCGAGGATTGCCCTTTGGCTTTCCAAAATAGATTGATTGTGATGGGTGGGAGTGATAGCGGGAAGAGCAAGAGGCGGGAGAATGTGCAGAGCAAAAATGATGCACTCCCGCTCCTTCGTTTTGAAAAGATATGGTGGCATGGTAACGAGAGAGTAAATACTTAACGACATTAATTATCAAAATCTTCGGGTTATGTGAATGCAAGCTGAGGCAGTAACAAAAGTGACAAAAAAAAAACTACGCCGCATGATAACAAGACTTCATTCTTAAAATACGTATAAGTGTGATCTTTAACAAACCGACAATGGCACTATCGAAAAGCTTGACGAATGCTTGTACTTTGATACTCCACTGTTATTCACTCTTCTTTCTCAAGCAAATTTTGGTACCGGACACAAAGGAAAATTAGCCACAGCAACTGGAATGCATTATGATTTAACGTAAGTGGTAAAAAAGTTAGCTGACGTGCATTTCAATTGAGGCAAGAAATGAAAAGTGGGTAACAAGACAAGTAGGTCTTGGCCCAAGGCACACAAAGGTTTGTCCGTAAATGCTTTAGCAATGCATCTACACCAAAATTTGACAAAGTGTAATTCAGTAAGCAAAAAAATAAAGAAAATATCAATTGGCGATCAGCTATAGATCTTTAATTCATGCCAACGACATCTAGAAGTTGGATGGCGGA